GTTGCCGCCCCGTCACCTGAAGTCCTACCTGCACCCTCGAAGCTTTCTACCAGAACACCATCACCGCCGAACCGCAAACAGAAAGCCAAAGCAGTTCCCAAAGCGCCTACAAAACGTCGTCGCCGACTTGACAAATCCCGCTCCCGTTCCTCGAGCCCACTGTCAATCTGGACCTCTGAAGACAAACAGAAACTTCGCACTTTGAAGGCGGACGAGAAGTCTCGGTTTTCATGGCGGGTGATCTCGACCAAGATGGGCAAATCGGAGGAAGACGTTCGCTCTATGTGGAATAAGATCAAAGACAAACTTGGCTGACCAACGGTACGCGCGAAACGAAAAAAGCTATCCTGCGACACCATGTTACAGTTTCACCACCCAAACTTCTGGGTTTCTTTTCTTTTATTCTTCTTGACGCCTTGTATTGCGTTACTTTGACCTTACACCTTTTCACCTTCACAACCTTTGGGCATTGTTGCTCCACTGAAACCTTGAATTTCCACATCATACACACCGCCAGCCATTTACTATGTCTCTCCGCATTCACCTGGACCGATATTGCCAACTGCGAGCTATGTCCCACGACAGGATCTCTCCTACCCGACGATCACGCTCTCCAACAAGGGCACCGTCCTCCGCTATGGGGTCTTCATCCCTTCAGCACCCACCCAACCGGACTCCGCCTTCGACACCCCATCGACCGGTTATTTTCCAATTGGACCTGAAGCCTATGCAGCAACTCGCCGTCCGAAACCCATACTACAACATCCTGGCCCCCAAGGTCGCGGGCAACCTCTCCACTGCCGTCTATGATAGCCTGTTCCAGACGTTCAAGGTGATCTACCCTGACTACGCTCGCAGTCACTTCGTTTCAGACCTCAAAACAGTGGTTACCGACACGCTGTTACAACGATGGTCGATACACCTACAGGCGACAGATTTCTACATGATGATTGACACCGATCAAGGAGCTCAGATGCTTGACGACCTTCCTCATTCTCTCCTGGACGTTTTGAACTGGTTCTACCCGAGATGGAAAACTCATCAACATCTCGATGCCTTCACGACCCGTGAGTGTTCACCTTTGTTGCTGACACCCCATCCAGATCCACAAGACACAGGCTTCGCTGTCCATGTTCAAGTGATTCCCCGCGGGCATCCATTCGTCACGGCCACCAGATACACTAAAACGGCCGAGTGATTAGCCTTTGAGATAGATCCCGGATGCGCTCACGTCTATGAGGAAAAAGGAAACAGCACTTGTCACGAAGTCCTCCGCCTTGACTTTGGTTCTCTTTCGTTCTTTTGTCTTCCTTGTTTCTCATCTTTCTTTATTGTGCTTCTCGTGGTTCGATATTTCATCATTGACTTCTTCCCACGGAATTTTGGCTTCAGTTCAGTCTTTCTCGATATCATATTATTGCTACTGTACATGACGACCTCCACTACGGATGATGCTGCTCGGCTGGTCTCAAACCGCTCCCCACCTACATCCGTACATGACCCAGTCCCACATCTCCCACCTGATGATCCTACTTCGGCATCGTATATTCCCAGGGCAGCTAGAATGATTCCAACCTCTACAACTGTCCATTCCGTATTCATCAAGAAGCTGAGCTACCCCTTGTCTTCTCGTCCGGATGAACTTTGGATCGTGGAAAGGACACTCGATGGTATTGAAACGTGGAAGCCAGTGGAAACATTTTTGGAGAACATGCACCTCACCAGCGACCGTGCCACCCTACGCACTACGGCCAACCATTGGCGCCAATACTATGATGTACCCATCCAATCGTCCTCCTCCTCTACGGCAACTTCCGTTCCTGCTCTCCCACATCCTGAACATGCCAATGTCTACGTCTCTCAACCGCACGAAGCGATACCGGATCAGCTTCATATTTTACAATCATGCTGGGGACGTTCAGCCCAACACCACTCTCAAGGTACTACTACTTCTTTATCTTGGCCACCATGGAGATCTACACCACCTTCTTCACCATCGTCAACACTGCACCGGACCTTATATCTCAATCGCCCTACCGCCCCTGCTCAACATGTACATTGTCCACTGGATGCGAACGACCCTGGCCCGATGGATATGTCGGACTCCAGTGTGTAACATACCACATCATTTTGCGGAATAGGAAAAGAACAGTGACTACACGTCGACTCGTGATTATTCACTAGTACACCGTCTCCCTCCATATTTGGATTGTGGGTTTTACTCTTTGATCACTATCATATTTTTATGTTGCAGCTTGGGCTTTACGCTTTACGCTTGACACTCGACGCCATGGCTCATTCTTCTCGCCCCCACCCATATCGCGCTACATCCCGGGTTGATACACCACAAGGTCCCCGAACTGCTGCATGGCTTGCCGGACACCGAGGCCTTCCTGGTGACGTGAACCCTCCTCCAAACAGACCTGTTCTGATCTTGATTGACTACTCTCCTTTACAGGAATTGACTCACCGCAGCGAACCTGACCGTGAACACTACATGGCTATGGCCAGTTCAAATCTCAAGAATGTTAGTGGCTACGAACTTGAAGCTCTGTTTACCTGGTCACGCCAGATGGAACCAATTGAAGCCGGCCTCCTTCCCATTGGAGAACTACGTTTCGCCATCTCAAAAAGATTGAGGACCCAATGGAACATCCAACTTGACCCTTCGAATTTGGAGTTTCGCTATTGCGACCTGGAAGGTGATACATTCCAAGTCCCCAATGATTTGACGATCATGCAGCTTTTGGAAGAATACCGACCCGAATGGCGATTCCGACAGTACAACTACATCGAATCCAGTTGGCTCATCCCAGGTTCCTCACAGCCTTTCGTGCTACGTCTGAGATGCCATAAAGTTAGCCCCGGAGTTATCCTACCCTGATGTGCTCACTGGCAAAACAGAGAATGCGCGACTTGTTCCTTTCGTTTAATCTATGACATTTCATTTACACGGAGGATTCTTTGTATTTCACCTCTCGGTTTATTCCCACCATTTTAGGTTCCGTGCTTTGTCCTTTCCTTGGACTTTGAACAACTCGATTGCTGATTGGACATTACAGTACTATTATTATTATTCTTTGGCTCGGCTTATTTTTGCATTTTCCTGATTCCTCAGCCTTTGGTCGCACAATTTCACGCATTTTCTGACCGTTTCACCCATGGAGCATAAACGTGACGCTACCGTGGCGGGCTTGGCTTGGCCTTCGAATCCCAACCGTGGACTCGCTCCCACAAATCCAGATCAAGTACCAGATGGCCAGGCTTCTGAACTATGTCATTCTATCACCCCTGACCCTACGACCTTGACCACTTCGGCACCTTCGGCAGCTGACACTACAACTACCGACATCGGAACTACGCCCCACGCCGATACATACTCAGGCTCTGTACCTCCTGATGTTCCTTTTCCGACTGAACCAAGTCCTACATACCACTACCTCCATCGTGCTCACTTCTCGTCCCGCGTGGTCCACCAGATCCACTTCAAGATCATTACCCACTCCAACAATACCAGGGAGTTATTCATCGAAGAGATCCCCATGTCGGGGCTCTCCAAATGTCGTGACCCCGAGCACTATTTTTATGGTCTTTCGGGCAACTGGGAGTGGTCCCTGCGCACAGCGGATTATTGGCGCCATCACTTTGAGATTCCTCTAGTACATGGGCATCATCCTTTTCACACCGTCCCCATTGAGACCACTTCACCTACGGAGGCAACCCGCTTAACTCCGAAGATCCAGGAGCTGGCCAAACAACTTTCAACCACTTTGACGGCTGCTATGGCATCTGGGGAAATCAACGACACGTGGAGGATGGTTGAAGGCATGAGCTTCCGTGACGCGATCCAAACACTTCAACTTGAGGCGAATCTCCCTTCTGAGTGACTGAACGCGGCTATGTACATTAGCACCGGGAAGCCTTTTGGATTTGATTGATTCTGTCGACCTTAGCAGCGATGTTCTTCCAAAAGAATCAAGCCCCGCTACACGCGGGGTGTGTGTGTGTGTAACATCTGAACAGATGTAAAACTTCTATTGTTCTAATCTTTCCACATATGCAGGGGGGCAATCTCATGTTTGCAGCTGATTGCCCAACGAAGAGGGCTGCATTCATGACTGATATGACTCCGGGACGCTGGAGTCACGTACCTGCCAATTCTACTGGAATGGGAAGAGGCTCAACCCAAGAACCTCCACGTCGTTTATTTGAGAATTTCAATTTACTGCACTGTTGACGCAATCTGGAATCAATTTTGATATTTACATGCATCAGAACCTTCCTCAGTTTTTCGCCGAAACCTTGTCGCCGACAGTACTACTGGTTTTTTGGATTATTTTCGCCGAAACATGTCGCCGATGTATTTGGATTATTGTATCAACACTACGATCGCCGATTCCTTTTTGATGACGAATTTGGACATGGAAACCATTCAGGAGAACTTCTATTATTCGTAGGATGCTTCGTTAATTTCATTGTTTCGTATCTAATCTGCATGTTTCAGGATTCAGTTCCTGCCGGATCATATAATGATCCATTCTTGTCTAGTGTGTGTGTGTGTGTGATTTTGCGTTAAATATATTTAATGAATTATTGGGTTCCACACGGCTTTGAATATGGCTGCGTTGAATTTGAGGGTGACAGCTCCACCTGCAGTAGCCCTGGTGCAAAATTTGGTGCAAACCAAAAGGAAAAAAAACAACCGCTATTTACCAAAAAAACGATGCTATTTGGGGTCGTGCCATCTGCCAAAAATAACGATTTTACGGTCAGGCTGCGCCATCTACCATCGCTATTTATTTTTTTTTGAGCCATCTACTATTTCTGCGATGTATACAGGGAGAAAGATGGGGGCAAATTGTGATTGCTTGTGTGGGCGCAGTTTCGTGTTGAGATCGTATGGCCAATGGCAGTTTTTGTAGTAGTCCAAGTGAAAATCACTGGCCAGACAAGGAACTGTTTCCAGTCAGCAAATTTGATGTTGACCCCATGGATCTGAGGAACATGCAAACCGTACCTGTCAGCCCTGCCTCTTTTTTGCATCGCAACATGGCTGTGCGCGCGGAGTTGGTTGTCGATATTGCCATTTGGAGCATCAGGTGAACAGCTCCCCCCGGCCAAGGAAGCAGACACGGGACAAGATAAAAGAACGTGTGCTGCAAATATTCAGGGAAAACTCCAGAAACCTGCATGATGAGTTGCAGGCAGAAGCTCGCTGGCATCCATATGCCGTCAAGATCGCGCAAGGCTTTCTGGAGGATGAGATACCTATCACTTGGGATGAGTTTGAAGGTGTCGAAGCAAGGTGGAGTCCGGATGGATTCATTTTTTCCCTGTAGGATGCTGCAGAAGGGGTGGAGCGTTTGCCAATGTAGTTTCATTATGTTTCATTTAGTAGTGTGATGCACAAATTTCAATGGCCGTACCTTGTGTTTCGGACCATCTCTGCGCCACGTTGCCACAGAGCAGTGTGGGCAGAAGAATGAAGCACAGAATGAATGTAAGCCTTGTCCGCAATTGGCGGCCAAAAATGTCCGACCCTGTCCGACCTGCGCACCTATGGATGGAGAATTGATATGAATTGACGGAGATGGGTCACAGGCTAACATTGCATGTCAGCTAAGGAGCCAAACATGCACAACTGCGCCGCCCTGTTAGATCCTTATTCTGGAATACAAAGCAAGGCAGCTGACGTATCAGCTCAACAGTTGGATCAGTGACATGCCGTTGACGTTTTTTTTGCTCAACACTTTGATAAGACAAGATAATCTCCGTTTGGCATTGCGATTTGGGGTTTCGACTTGGTAACTGTTGTGTGTGGAGTCGAAACGCCCAGGTCCTCTTGGCCAAGTTCTTTGCTACAGCCGTTTCTACGAGTCGGTCTAGACCCTCCAGACCCCCAAATATCCAAAATAGCCACTGTCCAGGTCTTAGCCTGTGCAGTTCCACTGCTTTCTCAGGTCTGTGCCACGCGTTGCGATGGCTTTGAGGCGTGGCATTGGCATGAAACTGACGTCCAATTTGGGCTTCTATGGATGTCAGGAGTGTGTGGATGCCACTGATGAGCTGGGATGCCGCCCTTGTGAGACGGTGCAGTGTGAACTGTTGGGTGCTCAAAAAGGCTTAGGCTTTCAGCAATGTAGATGAATCTCACGGCAAAGTCAATTTTTTGCACAGCAAAGCTCCCCATGAGATCCATGGCAGAGTGCTTGGCCAGAAGCTTCTGTATCTCTGAAATTTCACATGCAGAAACACCAAGCCTCAGCCACTTGGACGGTCGGAATCTGGGCGGATTGGCGCGGCATTTTTTGGCTTCCGAGGCCATTTGGTCGGTGTGTAGATTCGCTCTCTGGAGTGTGGGAGCGAAGTGGGTCGGGTTGATCCAGGGAAAAAGAATGATAACGAAACTAGTGTGGGTCTGGCAATTTTAGGAAACAGTCTTTTCTTCTTTTCTGAACCGCAGCAGCTCATTTGGGGTACCCCATTTTCAGACGAAGCCATCGGACAGCAGCTCTGCAGCAGGGTTTCTATACTATGCGTGGCTGGAGATAAAACTTTGCAGATGGCAGCATGCAAGCTTCACTTGAAGAGTTGGAAGGTACGAATCAGTCAACGTACGTCAAACTACGTGATGGAACGTGAGGGATTCAAAGCCCTCTGCCCCAGTATAAACATCTATAAACACTAACACAAATCTGATCTGACGCAGGAGTGCTTAGTATGATCCCTCTTGTTTTGACAGATCTATTAAGCGCATAAGAGTGGGACAAGAAATAATTGACTCAGGCATCTGCGTGTGATGAGTGCAGCAATGAGGCGTTTGATACTCAGTGCATCAGAATGACCGCAGCTTGATGGTTTGTGTGTCACCACAATCATGTTTTTTTCTTTTCTGTTCTACGCTTGGGATAGCTCAAACATGCTCAAGCCATGATCTTGCCGGTTGCCTGAAATGGCTTTCTCCCAAACAGCCAAGAAAGGCCGAGTGACCATCCGTCGATTCTACTTGAAAGGACCTAAAAAAAAGGCGTCAAGCCGCCAAGCTTCTGCTTGGAAAATTCTTGTGGACCATGAACCACTCTATTTTTCAGATGTTCTCTGCGCCGCCTTGACGCCAAGGGCAAATCTTTCTCATGCTCAGCGGCAGCTCTGCCAATTGTTGGATGTCCCGGCAGGCCACAGCACTTGTTGCAACTATCATTCAGTAGATACTGTAGCTGCGATGGGGAGAATTTCTTCTCAAGCTTCTCTTGTCGATGAATCATGATGCTGTTGTGTTTAGGCTGGACACCAGTGGATGAAAGTGAACCTTATATTAGCCGATAGCGTTGTATAGCCGCATAGCCTCTGCGTGTTTCCACCATATCTCCTGAGCAGGTCAAGGTGCACTTGGATCGCTGCAGTGCAATGCCGATGCCTCGACCCATTGCATGACTGTGGCATGAAAGGCATCGGTCATTGTGGCATCATATCCGAGAGAATCCCGTGACCGTTCCGAGAAGATCTGCGGGATGATAAAGATGTGTGCGAAAGGGAATTGAGCTCCAAGGCAATTTCTTGGAGTGTGGTTTCGGGGTTATTTTTTTTGTGTCATTGTGTGATTGGGATCACCATTGCTTGTTAAGCAGCCTCTGAGGCATCAATTTGCGAAGCGCCGTGATCTGAGAATGCTTGTAGAATGCAGAAAATTCGACCGAAACACCAGAGGGTCTTTTTCCCCGCATCTTTATGTGGGGTTCTTGTTTTTGATTCTGTATCCCGTCCCGCCTCCGTCCCACCTCCGTCCCGCCTCCGTCCCGCCGCCGCCTCCGCCTCTGCCGCCCTGTCCCACACCACCATCTTTCACGCACAACTTTGTCACCCACAACTTTGTCACCCACACATCCACCTTCACTTTGCGTGGCGGGCGTGGCACTTCACGACATCCACCTTCGTTTTGCGTGGCAGGAGTGGCGCTTGCGGCACTGGGCTGGCTCCGGTGGCACGCTTGGGCGCCGCTTGGGGGCCGCTGGTCGCGCGGTGACGCTGCGGCACTTTGCGTGGCAGGTGTGGCACTTGGCGGCATCCACCTTTACTTTGCGTGGCAGGCGTGGCGCTTCACGACATCAACCTGCGTTTTTTGCGTGGCAGGCGTGGCACTTACGGCACTGGGCTGGCTCGGCTGGCGTGCTTGGGCGCTGCTTGGGCGCCGCTGGTAGCGCGGGCGACATCGAACTGCGTTTTGCGTGGCAGGTGTGGCGCTTACGGCACTGGGCTCTTCACGACATCGACCTTCGTTTTGCGTGGCAGGCGTGGCGCTTACGGCACTGGGCTCGCCGTGGCACTTTGCATGGCAGGTGTGGCACTTGGCGACACTTACGGCACTGGTCTGGCTCCGCCGCTTGGGCGCCGCTGGTCGCCGGTGACGCCGCAGCACTTTGCGTGGCAGGCGTGGCACTTGGCGACATGGACCTTCGTTTTGCGTGGCAGGCGTAGCACTTGGTGACATCCACGCTGCAAGCGAGTCCATCTCTCTCAAATACGACCTTGTCACACACCAAAACTTTGTCACGCACAATCTTTCACATCTCTCTCTCACATGCAGCTTTATCGCACACAACTTTGTCAAACACAACTCTTTCGCACACAACTTTTTCACACACATCTCTCTCACACACAACTTTGTCACCCACAGCTTTGTCACACACACACAACTTTGTCACCCACAACTTTGTCACCCATAACTTTGTCACACACACACAACTTTGTCGCACACACAACTTTCTCACACACATCTCTCTCTCACACAACTTTGTCACCCACAACTTTGTCACACACACACACAATCTTTCACACACAGCTTTGTCACAGACAATCTTTCACACACAACTCTTTCACTCACAACTTTTCACACACAACTCTTTCACACACACACAACTTTCTCACACACAACTCTTCACATAGAAATAGAACTTTTAAAATGATTGACCCTCCACCATCTCCTTTATCTTTTCTTCTTTCTCCGTGCCACTGCAGCACTTTTTCTGATTATTGGAAGAAGTTGACTTGTGGGGTTATCCGGTCCTTTTATATCCTTTTATTATTTTTGTCATGGGTCCTCCAAGAAGAATTGTAGTTCTCACGGAAGCGTCAGGGACTGTATGTATGCACATGATATACAGATTAATATACACACATGTCATTATATATACACATACTTTTACGCCTGATATATTATTGTTTTTATTCACCTTATGTACACATTGTTTTTCAACATTGAAGCATCCTGCCGCATCCTGCTTTAGACCGTGGCAAGGCTTGGAGAGGGCTGTGATCCCAGCGAATTGGACTTCGAGCCCTGCAGATGTTTGGAGGACCGGGGCCAGGGTCAAAGTGGCTGGTCTGACACAAAAAGGAGACTATGGGTAGAGTCTTCCAAGATCTTCCAAGTGTTATGGTACTTTTTACTTGTCCAAATCTTCCAAGTGTTACTTGTTCATACTGATTCATATACGGATTCACACTGGAATGTTTGGCTGTGTCTTGTGCTTGAACGATTGTCATGCATGGCACAAGGGGGTCTGCAGCAAAATGTGATCAAAGTTGGTCTATGTCAGGCTCGGGCAACTTTGGCGCAGCGGGAGGCCAGCGATGTTCGTGCAGCATGTCAGACATGCAGACCTGAATGGCAATATGCAAAGCACATTGATTTTTGAGTTTCATATACTCACCATTTGTGATGATGAATGCTGGCTGCACAAGTTCGCGTAAGTCAAATTTGCGGTCAGCCCTAAATTTGTCAACGGCACAGGCTTTTGGTTGCCTTGTTCGTGGCAATTTCTCTGCAGCTCTACGCGCCCTGGCAACCAGCTGAAAGCTGTACTCAGGGGTTGGTCTTCAACTTTTCTGAAAATTGTACCAAAGTCAATATTCCACAAATCAATGTACCTGGCCTATTGTTTGCCCAGTTGTTGTAATATGTTTCTACTTGCACCTATTCCTGGCAACTGGTCCTCCATGAGCTATGGGCCCTGGGACAGCAGTGTACTGAGAAATGCAAACACATTTTTCTGATGTTCTGCATGCTTTGAGGCCCAGTCAAGGGTCTTATGTCCCTGTACCACTTTGATGCTGTGAAGGCAAGCCCATGTGAACCAAGTTGGACAAAATGAGTCATGGAGCTCTGTCAACATTTGTCAAAATGCACAGTACTTGTTCGACCAACAGATATAATGCTTACTATTCACTTCATTAGATGGCTAGGTCTCTGCAGGTTGCAGAGCTAGTATGCATATTTAGTGTCAGATCGGAATGACGAGCAAGGTCTAATCGGTCAGATTCATCTGTGGGATTTGAGAGGCCAAAAAGCTTTATGATGAGCTTGATGTGATCAACCTGGAATGCAAGATGCTTGGTGCCGGCACTCCATATTCAATATATTCCATGCTTCGTGGAGGATTGGATGGCAGTGCTTCGTTCTGAGGCACCAATTCTGCAGGAAGCAGTGGTGGTTGCGCAGTTTCAAGCGCTGGGCCAAGTTTCACATTGGGGCCATGTTGCGTCCCTTTGCGGCTCCATTGAGGTGTTGATGGGGGTAGTTTATGTATACTGAGAGGATCTGGGAGGGTGGGATAGCTATGAAAGGTTTGCTTCGAATAGAGAGTGAGAGAGCGGGAGGGAGTTTTGAGAACTGAGCTTGAGCTGTTTGATGCTATTTTGGTGGCCAGAGAATGAGTCAATTTTGCAATCAGGTGTCGATCGAATTGAAGGGCCCGCGCTCTTGCTCACAGGCGGGCAGCCAAAAGTCCATGTGTCATCTTAGAAGTGAAAGTGCCGATCACAGACTGCCCAGAAAAAGTTATCATTGTATCATAATAAGTTTATTTTGACTTTTAGCCAACCTCGGAATTCGCCAACTGTTTCCCACAGTCCGGACCAAGGCTTTTTATGCAAGTTGCACCTGGCAAGGTGAAGATTGGCTGCAATCTCTTGCGGAGGCCTGGGGCCCAGCTTTCACCTAGGACATGTTTGTTGAAACGTTGAAACTTGTGTACGAAAGCTCGGAAAGGACTGACAGCTGTTTGGGTTGATTTTTTTCAAAGGTTGAGGCCATCAATAACTATCAACAACTCATTAAGATATCGCCTCATCAATATCGCGCTGTAAATTTCACTGGCAGAGGTGCCGCCCCCGAGTCTTCAAGCGTGGCATTTGTGGGTGAAGCCCTCGGAGTTTGTTACGATGCAGCCACTCCGCCCCGCTAGGTGACAATAAAACTGGCTCTCCAAGAAATTTCTTAGGTGAAGTGCACTTGCACGTCCTGTACCCTTGCTGGTCTTCTTGGAGGCAGGGCTTGTATACAAGTGATGGCGGTCCAGTGGACCCACGCTGGTTAACACCCCATTCAGTAGTGTGATTTCTTCTGCTTGATATATGCTAGTATCTAACATCTCCGTATCAAATCCACACCAGAATTCATGAAATCAGGAGGTCAACATATGGCTTGCGGGGCTCAAGCCTGATGTCCCCACAGGTGGTCTTTAGCTTCTTACTTGAGGGGATAAAGTCAAATTTTTTGGGGTTAGCCTGTCCCAGCTACTGCCAACAGCCATCCATTGGCCTCATCGGTTTCTCCTTTTTGTCTGGCATCTTGGTTGGAGTCACCTTGTGCCTTGCCTTTGGATTTTAGATTTGTGGCTACCTCAACTGCTCTCTGCTGGACTCTCTTTGCCGTCCAATCATCAGGTTGACTCCACGTGCTCAGGTGCTGGCTTCATATCTGCATGAGCCACAGGCCTTCCAGCAGCGACGGAGGGTTAAGTTGGAAATCAGTTTGCGAGGTGACGTCCAGGTTGCCATCACTGCTCCCTCATCTGCTGCTGCGCGTGCTGCTGATCTCCTGGGTTACATTTATCTGTTCCCTGGTGGTGTGGATTTGGCTCAGTCCGACAGGTCTTTTGAGTTGGTTGGTGGTTCCCCTGTCTCCAGTGTCTCTTGTCAGCCTGAGACCCGAGATTCCATTCTGCGCTCTTTTGGTGATTGCCCTGCTCGCTTCTGTGTTCACGCCAGCAAATTGTGTGGCTCCTCGGCTTCGGGGAGGCTCGTATTGAGCGTGCTTGGTTGGCTGGTCAGTGGACAACTGCAGTCCGTGATCGTCGCATTGGAAGTCCCAATCGCACTCCGGCCTTGGACTTGCGGCCGCGTTGTTACGCTGTCCTCAGGGCACCTGGACTTGAGCGTGCCACTGTCTTCCGGTCCTCTGCCAGCTATGAGAATTGCATTGGATCCCTCGAAGGGAGCTCCTCCATCAGCCAGGCTTTCCCCAGTGAGCTTGAGGCAAGGATCTACCTGGAATCTGCAGGGGAGACTGAGATCGACGTCGTTGCATAGGCTCAGCAATGGAACCATCAGAGGTTTTGACTTTGGACTCCTTGACGAACTTGGTTTCCGATGTAGAGCCATATGTGCTGAATTGGCTTTCAGGGGATCAAGAAGACATAGCAGAGGCTTTAGTCCTGGTTTTGCATGTGCGCCCAGGGGGTTTTCTAGCTGCTGTTTCCATAGGACTAGTTCCCGAAGAAGTCCTTGCAGTAGGAAATGGCCCTTCACCTCCCGGAGCTGTTGGACCCTCAACGGTAGTCACAGTTCAAGGTGCAGTTTTGAACAATGGGGTACTCTCACCAACAGGTACCACCATAGCAGCCGTAGTTGTGGATTTTGCCGAAAGTGTTTTGTCTCACATGCATGCTCTCCGAGCGTTTTCACCTTTGCAGTTCAGTTTCGACCTAGATCAGCCGTTTGCAGTTCCTGTCCCTTCAGAGCTTCTTGCCAGGGTAAGAAGGATTGGTTGGAATCAGGAGGAGACAGTGGTCTAGGTTATGTCGCAGCAGACAGAAGAGGACATAGATAGTCTTCCACTGGAGCGGGAGGACTTGCCAGATGTCTTAGGTCAGGAGCCGTCAATGGAGGAGACCGTTACGCCTCGACCTGCCAGAGCCAGAAAACCCGCAAAGGCCACAGCGCTTGGTCCAGGGCGGCCCCCGCCTGCAGAAAAGCGTCCAACAGTAGCATCCGTTGCAGGTTCCTTCAGGAGTTGATCCAAGCCAACGCAGGACTGACTCAGCAGGTCCAGACCTTGGCCATCAGACAGCAGCAACTAGAGAAGAAGACGATGATGCCAGCACCCATGCAACCCCCCTACACCGGCCCTTTTGAGCCAGACTATCTCATCTGCCCCCAGCAGTCCCCCCAGACTTCAGCAGTGGCCAAGGCAATTGGTATCCCCCCAGACCAGTCCAGCCTACCCATCCGGGCCTGTTGAGATCTCAAGATCACTTGGCCAAAGCTGTCCTAGCCCAATCGAAGGCCCTTACTGCATTAGTCTCTCAGATTGCATCCCAGGCATCGGATCCAATGTTGGAGCGAGGGACTGGGAGTTTTGGAGGAGGGAGTCGGGGTGCACAGGCAGAATAGAAGAAGGGGGTGTTCTTTCAGTCGGTCCTCATAGCCATGTCCAGGAGAATGCAGCCCACCGCTCCGGCCGAGGGCTCACCCGAGGAGATGATGACAAGAGGCATCTCCGGCACAGGATACCTGGAGAGGTTCGGAGGTTTTGGACAACACCGAGAGCTTGGCTGCTTGATGCATCAGATTATGACCATAATGGATTTTCTGCAGGTGGGAAATCTTCCAGCTGCAAGAGATGCCACGGCCCTATTAACCGTAACGTTTCGACCTAGCAAATCTCCTGCGCTTGCAAGAGGAACCCCCAGCCACGGTGTTCTCCCACAAGCCTGCCAATGTCCTTGCGAAGACAAGGGCATTCACTCCGTTGGCTTCCCAACAGTGGGTGACCGTTGCACTTGCGTATATAAAGGAGCTGGATGTCATATTTGCAAAGCGTTTGGAGCTCACAAGCCAGACCAAGCAAAACCCCTTCGCTGCAACCTCATCCGCCGATACGCCAAAGCCCAAGCAGACTGCCAAAAAGAAGGGAAAGGAGGAGGAAAGGCGAATGCTGCAGCCAACACAGGGGAGCCAGAAGACTAACTCAGGCATCAGGTAATGCATGTAGTGACTTTGGTTGGGAGGGGCCGGAGCCAAACCCTCTTGTTGCCAAGATCACCTTCCAGCAGTGGATTTCTTGCCTTCCTCGCTGGATTTTGAGGACCCGCACAAAGTTTGCAGCCCTCTTGGCACGTTCCTTTGCGATCTTGCGCCGTTCCGAAGAGACGGCAACCACGCTTTTTCCACTGCGTCTGCCTTCTATGGATTGTTTTCGGAGTAGTGGTCCCAACTTGTCTAGGAAGAGGCATTGTCCATGTGTCGATCCCGTCTGTTGAACATGTGGGTGCTTGTTTTGGACTTTTTGTTTTTGGGGCGATTGTTCCTTTGATGAGCTTCGGAAATGCCCATCGTCTCAACAGCTTGCAGTCCTTGCTCGCCTTCGGACATTCATGAGCGTGTGTGGTGATGCCCAGGAGGAGTTCTCTCCCAGCCCCGGCCGATCCAGTCCTGAATTAGCCGCTGCATTGTTTCAATTGGAGGCATTTTGCCTGCGCTGTGATGAGCCTAAATCTGGTTACATGGAAAAGGATGCCATGCCTTTTGCCGAGGACCCTGGACTTTTGTCCTCTGAACAGTTTCCGGAGTTGATGCCTTATAGGTCTTTGGATGCCAGCCGTCTTCGTCTTGTCGGTGAAGGTCAGTGGCCCATGGAATCCTATCTTGATGGTAGGAGCCCTCGTTCCTTTTGCATGGTCTTCCTGTGTCAGATGAGCTTGTCCCAAATTTCACCCGTGAGAACCCCCAGGAGTGCTTCAAGCTGGCTAAGGTATGGGATGCACGTGGATTGCTGAAGGTTTTCCCTGAGCCCGTTTTGCCTAGCCATTTCAGCAGGGTCTTCAATGCTTTCAAAGATGCCACAAAGGATAGGCAGATAGGAGATCGCCGCCTTCCCAACCTATCTGAATATCACATTGATGCGTCAAAAGCTTTGCCTCAAGGACATCAATTGGTGCGCATCAGGTTGCCTAGGTACACACATGTATTGTGCGGCTCCACGACAGACAGGCGGGACTTTTACCATCAAGCTCAGGTCACTGCAGAGCGTGCTCAGAGCAAAATGCTTCCTTGCTCCTACCCCCATCTGGACTTTCAGGGGACGCTGGCCGAGGCTTTCTCAGCAGCTCTTGGTAGTTCTCTGCCTAGAAGCCAGGAAGTTGTTGGGGATGGTTTTGATGGTAGGTCCAAAAGGAGTGGCAGGTCGAAACCTTCAATGCCTGCCGAGCTATATCCATGTTTTGCCTTTTTGTTTCAAGGAGATCACCTGGGTGCTGAGTTTGCTTTGGGGAGTCACAGTTTGTTGCTTGAAAATAATGGACTGTTGTGCCCCAAAAGCCGGATTCTTGGTGGATCTTGGCGGGGTTTGGGATGCCTTGGTCATCGATGACTATTATTGTCTCAGTGCCGAAAAGATCAATGCCCCTGTGGCTGAAACCGTTGCGCATGGTGCCCTGGACACAGCCAGACAAGCATATTCCATTGAGGGTCTTCTAGGATCTGCTGAGAAGGATGTTGATGCCTGCACCTCCTTGAAAGCTGCAGGTGCTGAGATCAGGTCCGGCGAGAAGAACGCAAGATCTGGTGTGGTGGCTGTTGGGGCCCTCTGTGGGAAAAGAATCGCACTTGCAGCTGCCTTGCCTGGGATCACCGCGGCCTTAATCTCCAGATTGGCTGGAAATTGGGTTTCCGTGCTCCAGTACCGAAAATGTTTCTCAACCTTAGTTAATTCCATTTTCAAGCTTTCGAGTCGCTGTATGGAGGAAGCTGAGATTCATCATTTGCCTAGGTCAGTTGCACAGGAGCTCACTCTCCTTGCCTGCATGTCCCCATTGATTTTCTCGAACATTGCTGTTGACATGTTGGATTCGGTTTTCGCTACTGATGCCTCAAATCAAAAGGGGGCTGTTGTTGCTGCCGAGATTGACCCTGGCCTGCCTGCATGAAAATTTGTGGCTTCAATCAGATCGAAAAGGAAGCTACACTCATCTTGACAACAGCTTCCATGCAATCCTACGTCAAATTGGGGAGGTTGATGATGACCTTGGAAGCCGCTGGCCCAGCTGAAGCACCAGAGCCAATCAGAAAGCAGCCCCTGCTTTATTTTGATTTTGTCGAGATTTGCGGAGGTGCTGGGAAGGTGAGTGACGCTTTGTTGAACCTAGGCAGGTCGGTTGCCCCTGTTTTGGATTGTCCAACAGCCCGCACTGTGACCTTTCCTGTCCTAGGGTTTGCGAGTGGATCATTTACATGATAGAAGAAAACCGTTTCAGGTCTTTTCTTATTGCCCCACCTTGCACAAGCTCTAGCCCGGCTGCACACCCGGCTGTCAGGAGCTATCGTGAGCCTTTGGGTTTGAACAGGCTTAATCCAAAGACCCTCCATGGAAACCTGTGACCTTGATGCTGTTAAGGGTTGGCCGTAGGTGCAGACGCCCATGTGCAGCAGAGCAGAGCCGCCTGAGCAAGATGTGCTGGTTGCAGCTGTGGAGGAGTCTCCTTCACCAAGATTTCTTGGAGGCCGTGATTGCCAGCTGTGTCTTTGGGTCCATTCACAAGAAGGAGTTCCGTCTGCTTTGCCATTTGCTGGATGTCGCTTTCCTAAGCCGTAGGTGCCAAGGGGGTCATGCTCATGTTAGGGTTGAGGGTTCTTACACCAAGGCATCAGCGGTTTTGTGGATGGACTTGCCTGGCATATTGGACTTGCGTTTCATCATGCCATGTCTTCTCTTGATGCTGAGGAGCGGCTGAGCTCAAAGGTTGATGGACTTGAGTCGGTCCTTGCCAATGATGTCATGAGCACTTCACGATGGTCAGTCGTGTGAGCTTGGTTTTGGAAGATGGTTTTCCATATCAATGTGCTTGAGTTGACGTCCGCTGTCTCGACTCTGCGTTCTGTTGCCCCGCACCATTCCTCTGTCAGGTTTGCGTCGTTTTTGATTCAGCCGTATGTCATGGAGCCCTTGCCAAGGGTCGGTCAGCCTCTTATGCTTTGCAGCCTGGACTCAAACGAGCTTGTGCCTGGTGCATTGGATTTGACCTCTATCCAGCTTGGCCTTTCAGTCCAACGCGCCTTAACGTCGCAGATGATCCCACCAGGGGATGTGATGCCAGGGCACCTTGCATTCACTCCTTGTCAAAAGTTGATGGTTTCATCGGTGTTGCTTCGTCCCTTTCAGGCCTCCGTCGGTTTGCTGCGAATTGGGTTCGGCTCACCTTGCTAGCTGTCAGTGTTCTTCCGGCCCGTTCGGCCTGTCTCGAGGATGGCTGTTCTGGTGGACTTTTTGCTTCTTTGGATTTTGCCGCCTGGGTCATCATTTGGATTTTTGGACTCGTCCTTGGACTTGCCCTTTCCTCATGGGTTCTCCCTAGCTGGACAAGGCATGATAATCTAGCCCCAAAAAGGTCCCAGTTTCGGCCGGTTTTTGCCATTGGTTTTCCTGCTCCTGATGAGCGCGACTGGAGAGGCCATGAATATGGCGCCTGCCACTGAGGTCGAGCGGCGACGAGTCCTCAGGCGGGAGGGAGTGCAGCTGGTTGCAACCAGGGCGATAAAACAACAGACCAGAAGCCGGCGGAAGGTTTATTTGGAATGGTTTCGCAAGTGGCTGTGGGATGAAAGGCAGATTTCCTTCTGCGTCCTCATCGACCAGAAGCCGCCAGATCCAGAAAGGCTGTCAGAGCTGCTGGTGGATTACGGGAAGGCCTTGTACCGTTCGGGAAAGGCCTACGGGATCTACGCAGAGACAATAAACTCTGTTTCGGTTGAAAGGCCTTTGATTAGGCGTCAGCTGACCTCAGCCTGGGATCTGGCATTTGCTTGGCTCATTGATGAGCCTCATTCCCATCACCCGGCAATGCCTTTGTCGGTGATGGCAGCGATGGTGCTGACAGCCCTATATTGGGGAACGAAATTCTAAAGGTGTTGCAGCTGCCCACTTCGAAGACTACGACTTCAAGACCATTTGACCTTGGTTCAATGAGGCCTGGACCCCCACTTGGATGTTGCATCAGAGAGCCCGGAATACGTACAAAGACGCGGGCGCTGGCTCAGCGCACGGGTGATGGAGGTCTACCTCCAGGAGGTGATGGTGACAACTTTCTCCGAACGTATTCAGCCAAAGACCAGATTTTTGATTTCACTATGCCCTGGGGAGTTTGCAGCTGTGCTCGAGCGCGTGATCGCTTTTCTCGATACAGGCATCCCCCCCGAAGCCCCTGAAATCAGGAGGTCAACATATGGCTTGCGGGGCTCAAGCCACCCGAGCCTTCCCGTCCCCACAGGATTTTGAGTGGCGTGTTTGATGGCCACCAGGCTACAAAGTCTTCGTGGCATGATGATCCATCCGAGCAAGATCGCGAAAAGGCATGCGGCGACACTCATATATATATATATAAAATTATATTATATTATATTATATTTTATTTTATTTTATTATATAATATAATATTATATTATTTTACATTATATATATTACATTATATATATTAAATTATATATTCTATTACATTATATATTATTTTATATTGTATTATATTATTTTATATTATATTATTTTATATTAAATATTTTATTACATTATATATTATATTATATTGTACTATATTATACTAAATTATATTTTTCCTATTTTACTTTGTCATACTATATTATATTATATTATACTATACTATATTATATTATATTATATTATTTTATATTGTATTATATTATACTATATTATATATTTTCATATTATTTATTATCATACTATATTAAATTATATTATATTAGACTATATTAAATTATACTATATTATATCACCTTATATCATACTATATTGTATTATATTATATTATATTAAATAATATTAAATCATATTATATTATATTATATTATATATTATTTTATATTATATTATATATTATTTAATTATTTTACATTATTATATTATATCATAGTATATTATATTTTTTTTTATTTTGTAATATATTATTGTATTGTATTTTATTGTATTATATTTTATTATATTTTGTTTTATTGTATTATATTGTATTATATTGTATTTTATTATTGTATTTTCTTTTTTCATATCATTTTTTCATATTATATTATATTATATTATAGTATGTTATTTTATACCAAATTGTATTATATAATATTGTATTATATTGTATATTATATATTATATTTTGTTTTTCATATTATATTATATTATATTATTTTATATTATTTTATATCAAATTATATTATATAATATTGTATTATTTGGAATATTATTTATTATATTTTGTTTTTCATATTAAATTAAATTATATTATGTTATATTGTATTTTATTGTATTATATTATATATTAAATTATTTCCATTTTTTTTATTATATTTATTAAATAATATAACAAAATATTATATTATCATGAATTATTTTACATTTTGTCATACTCTTTTTTTTAAATTATATTATATATATTATATTATATTTTTTATATATACATATCCACTAGTACTACATCCATGGAGTATCCCCAATTAACAATCAATTAATCACAAGTAGTATCCAACAATGCTTAACTCTCCATATCAAATCCCATCAATTGATGAATATCCCATGTCCTCGCTGCTGCCAAGGTGGCACATGGTTTGTGGATGAAGGTGGATACCTGGCCAGTGGCCGAGGTTTTTTGACAGAACTGACTGGCAAAGGAGCCTTAGTTTGAGCCGTTTTTCTTGTTACATATGGTAATGTCTTGAATGTAGACAACGATTACATACTGATTGATATACAGTACAACATATACAATCTTTACAACACACACAGAGAGAGATATATATATGTGTACACACATACATACAGTACGCTCTATGTAAAGATATTTGAACATGAGTAACACCAGGTTTTCCAAACGCGACTTGAAGCGGCTTGCCGGCTTGCCATAGCGCCGGCCCCGAGGCCACAAAGTCACCGAGCGGAAACCTTTGGCAGCAAGAAACCCGGTCGGGAAATATGCGATAGGATGTGATATGATATGATATAGTTGATAGATAATATCCCATATTGATAGATGATGGTTGGTAACGCCAAATAAACCTATCAACTTTGAACGATCCCAAATTGATGGTATGATATAGTTGATAAATTGATGCTTGGTGCCTTGACATCGCTAAAAAAAGGGGCACATTTCTACAGGCTCATGCTGTCGGCTGATCAAGGCCAGCAGGTTGTGCGGCGGTGAACGACGATGTGTTCCACTTCGTTGGCTTTTCGTTGGGCCCGGATGGCGGGGAGCAGATTTTCCAAGACGGTCAGGATGCCAAGACAAAACTTTAGTCACCATTTTTCTGACAGTATGCTGCTGTCCAACAAACCTCGGAAAAATATGTAAAAATGATACCAGAGAATGATGGTGCCAGACCTCTGTGAATGAAAAGCCAATGCCCATTTGCGGACCAGAGTTGTGCTCCCGACGCTATCATGGCATGGATCAAACTGACTTTTGTTTGCTCCAACTCTGATGTTTTAATACTTGCAAGTGGAGGAAAAACCTGAGAGTTGGGATTCACGAGTTTGACACACTGGACTGGTTATAAGATTTGGAGCTGGTTCGAAATTGGCCGCGTTGAATCGTGCGTAGTTCGTTCCGCTGGGTTTTGACTAGTTTTAACTCGAAAGATTTGGCAATCCTACCTGGTAGAGGATTCGCGGCAGTTTCTCGAAGACCGAGTCGAGGTTGCATCATAGGCTCCGTGGGTATCCAAGCCGGAAGGTAACAACGCAGTCGAAGCATGAAATCACGACTCTCTGCACACATATGAATGTTTATTGTTTATGTATCTATATGTTTGAATTTGTGACCACCAGCTGCGACCACTGCGCCCAAGTGCATCAGTAGCAGGCACGTTTGCACGACAAACTGGAAGGGCCTTCGTTGGCCCAAGCCTTCGAGAGTGTCCTTGGGCCCCGTGCCCTTTCTCTTTTAAGGTCAACTTCGGTTGGTGATTTAGGTTACCATGCCCTATGTAAGAAGGGTGTACACGCACACACACACACAATGTCAAGGGTACGAGCCAAAATTGGGAACCAAGATGGGGTGATTCGATACATGATTGCCAACAATCATCAACATTTGAGTCAACATCACCATTTTCTCGGACCAACATCCCTAGTGTCAATCTTGGATTAACAAAACCGGGTTGATTAACTACAGGGCCTGCCCCCAAAGTGATCATTTGCTACGAACATGGTGCGCATGGTACCTCCAACAGGGTAGACTTTCATCCAAGGTTGACATTATACCAACCCCCAGGTGGTCAAAAAAACATTGTTTTCCAATGGTTAAACCAATGCTAAGGAGCTCTCTGTGCGCAGCGGGCCTACGATGCAGCCACAAGTGCTGGATGGTCTTCAACCAGTAATGCATATGTGCTTCGCTGGCGATTTTTCGCTGGATTTGGAGGTGAAAATGGGGTATATCAGTATATCCCCAATGTGCCATAGTGGACAGTTGGATTGTTGGATTAGATTAACACAAATTAGGGGATAGTCATCAATCCATTTTCATTGGGATTGAGGACGCTTTTCCAGATGTCATCAGGGACTGCCTCCAAATATCAATTTTCATGTGGAACATGATGATCAAGCACACATTTTGGGTGTACCCGATTTTCAGACAGATCCGATGTTAGAGAAACTTGTGGAATCAACTGAGGCCATGTTCGGCTGGTCCTCGGATTCTACCTTGGGGACTCTTGGAGGGAAACAACACAGACAGTGCCATTTGCAGCTCACCCCTGAAGACTCCTTCATTGGGAAATCTTCATCTACCAGCGGCCTGGAACAATTGCATGATGCAACGCTACGTAGGTGAGGCAACAGACTTGCGCAGGTTTTTTTTGCTACAAGTGCAGCATTTGAACTTGGGACAAGCCAAGGATTTTCATTGGCGAAATGGATGCGGCAAATTCCTCGGCATCGATTCTGCTGGGTACACCCATGGTTTGAACATGTTTGAACACTTGATCCTGCCTGCAAGAAGCAAACAAACAGTGTCACTATCTCACTCTTCCTCATTCCTCGTCACCATTTGATTCTCCGAAGCAACCCGGTTGTGATAGTTTGAGCCGGCCTCAGGCAGCAATCTTTAGCGTGGAACGCTCGTTGAAGGTGGGATTTGCTGAGCGATGGCTGTTCCAATCACAAACGAAGCCCTCAGGAGATGCGACATGACATGACGGCCGCTTCATGGAGAGGAGAAGGCCTTGGGAATCCTTGGGATCCTCGAAATGACCAAAGCTGGAGAGGACCCAACAAAAAAACGCATAAAAGGGGGAAGACCGGCGACTTCGGGTGGGACTTTTGCTTTCCGCGTTTGTGATGGCCGAAGAGAGTGACTTCAGGCCCTACATTTGCACAACGGTACCTGGCTGCTGCGTGCCGGTGCCTCATTTGTTGCATTTTGGAGCACCCAAACACTTTTTCATGCA